TCTTCAGCCGCCAGCTCCGTCTCCTTTCCGCTGCGCCCCCACCCACTGTCTCCTTCCCACTCCCCTGGCGCATCTGAAGCAAATCCCAGACTTCATGTAATTTCATCTGTCTATATTTCTGAAAGAAATATTTACTTTCTCTAAAGATAAGTACGCTCCTGAACACACACACACACACACACACACACACACACACACACACACACAAAAACACACACACACGTTTGTTTGAATCAGGATGAAAGTAAGGTGAATGTATTGTGAGTTTCTTCATTTACTCTGTGAATCTGTGTAATTAATCTAAAAGTCAGTCCCTGACCCCAGCCCTCTCTGTGCATCTGTCTGCCTGTCTCTTCCTCCAATTGATTGGTTGAAGAAACTGGATCATGCATCCTGTAGAATTTATCGTGGTCTGGATCTTGTCAGTGGCTTCTCCCCGCTTGCCCTGTGGTGAGCTGCACTCACCTCTGTTCCTTGAGTTTATTTCCTCTAGGTGGTGGACACAGCTGGGCTCCCCTCGCTTCTGATTCAGTTGGGGGATGTTTCATGTGTGGTGCTGTGTCCTTGCTTTAGGATGTCTGCTTGTCTTCTCTCTGTGATGTCTTCTCTCTGTGACCTACTGATGATCATTGCCTGGATCCATTTATTAGAGATTATGAAAAGATGGTGTTATTATTTCTTTTTCCTTTTTTTTTTTTTTTTTTTTGCAACAGGGGTCTCACTTGGTCACTGAGACTGGAGTGCAGTGGCACAAACACAGCTCACTGCAGTCTCAAACTCCCCAGCTCAAGCAGTCCTCCCACTTGAGACTGCCAAGTAGCTGGGAACATAGGCACATGCCACCATGCCTGGCTAATCTTTAGATTTCTTGTAGAGAGAGGGTTTTGCTATGTTGCCCAGGCTGGTCTTGAATTCCTGGCCTCCAGCAATCCTCTTGCCTCGGCCTCCCAAAGTGCTGGGATGACAGATACCAGCCACTGTGCTCAGCTGTCCTTATTTGTTCACTGGAGTATCTCTATATGAAGAAACCCTCTCATTAATTATTTGGATAGCTCTAGGTACAGCCATGTAGTAAAGCCAGCATCAATACTTACTTTCCTTTATTAGCCAGTCTCCAAAATCATCTGTGGGCTTCTCTCAGAGGTGACTAGCAAGGGGTGTGTGTGGGGGTGGGGGTGATGTGTGTGTGCCCGTGCATGCATGTCGTGTGTGTGTGTGCGTGCGTAAGTAGGTGTGTGTGGTGTGACGTGTGTGACCACCCTGTTGAGTGCACTACCTACTGCATTCGTCTCTCACCGATTCTCTCAGAGGTGACTAGTGTGTGTGTGATATGTGTGTGTGTTCACGTGTGTGTTCGCGCATGTATGTTGCACATAGGTGTGTGTGGTGTGACGTGTGTGACCACCCTGTTGAGTGCACTACCTACTGCATTCGTCTCTCACCGATTCTCTCAGGGGTGACTAGTGTGGGGGGACTGAGTGAAGAGTGGGTGGCTGTGACGTGTGTGTGCATGTCAGTGTGTGCACAGAGGTGTGTGTGCTGTGACATGTGTGACCACCTGTTGAGTGCATACCCACTGCGCTCGTTCCCGTCCGAGGCCTGCGTCGTTCTGTCTTCGTGTCGGCCCCTGACCTCGTGGTCGAGGTCTCGAGGTCCTCCATTGCTTCGTTTTGATATGGTGTGACAAGCCGGCATGCTCCGTGCCATTTTGCACTTCTTCCATCCTAGGCCTGAAATCAGCCATGGCTGTGTCTCCAGGGAGTCTTGGTTTCCTTTAGTGGGAGGTGGTAGAGAGCTTCATCTGGGCCCCTGGGCTGCCGTGGCTCGTGCTCAGCCCCTTTCTCTATGTGTGTGTTGGAAGGATAAATATGAAGGCTGTCTTAATAGAGGCAGGTTCAGGACTGCAAGGCTTGCTGACTCTCATGGGTCTTGCCAGTGTGTCTGCTTCCTCCCACACGGAGTGCTCAGATTGTTCATCACCAGCATAATTAGTCATCCTCTTACCCTGCACCACCCCGGCAGTTGGAGAAAACAACCTCAGACCACCACTGAGACGGTTTGAGAGCCGCTGTGGAGGCACTCGCCCTTCCTTCTCATGTCCGGCCCAGATGCAGAGTGACGTTACCCTGTTTGTTTGTTTAATCATTTATTTCTGAGACAGGGTCTCACCGCGGCCCAGGCTGGAGTACAGTGGCAGAATCATAGCTCACTGCAGCCTCAACCTCCTGCGGCCCTCCCACCTCAGCTTCTCAGGTAGCCGAGACTATAGATACACGCTACCATGCCTGGCTAATTTATTTTATTTTATATATTTTTGAGACAGAGTCTCACTCTGTTGCCCAGGCTGGAGTGCAGTGGCGCGATCTCAGCTCACTGTAACCTCCGCCTCCCAGGTTCAAGCAATTCTCGTGTCCCCACCTCCCGAGTATCTGGGATTACAGGTGCAGGCCACCACACCCAGCTAATTTGTATTTTTAGTAGAAACAGGGTTTCATGTTGGCCAGGCTGGTCTTGTGGTCCACCTGCCTCCACCTCCCAAAGTGCTGGGATTACAGGCGTAAGCCACCACGCCCAGCCTAATTTATTTATTTTTATTTTTAGTACTGATGAAGTCTCCCTATGTTGCCCAGTCTAGTGTTGAACTCCTGGCCTCAAGTGATCCTCCTGCCTCAGCCTCCCGAAGTGTTAGGATTACAGGCATGAATCATTGTGCCTGGCTGGATTACTTTTTAAGAAAACAAATTTTGCTTTGTATTTATGTAAAATATTTCATGAGTCCAAAGTTAAATGCAGAAAATGAGGTTTATTGAAGGGAGCCTGGCTGTTCTTCCTGCGCTGGTGAGCCTGTTTCATCCTTTCTTCTGTAGGTCACCACTGAATCGTTGTAAGAATATGTGTACCACATATGATGACACACACATAAACTTTCGTGCATTTATGTGTGCACACATGCACACACTGTTTCCTCTTTCTTAGTTCCGTGCGGTACGTTATACATGGTTTCTTCTACTTGTTACTGTATTAGACTAGAGTGCACATATCCTCAGAGCTTCATTCTTTCCTCTAAAGCAGAGTTCCTCCAGCTCAGCCCGATTGACATTTGGATCAGATAGTTCGTGACTGTGGTGGTCGTGTGGCCTCCTGCTGTGTGGGTGATTGCAGGATGTGTAGCAGGTTGCCCGGCCATTGCCATCAGATGCCAGCAGGGCCCACTCCTCCCAGCAGTGCCGACTGAGCCTGTCTGCAGACACCAGTGCCCCCGAGAGTGGAGTTGCTTTCAGTGGAGATGGTGTTTCTCATGTTCAGCGGGGGGACTCCGAGCACGTCTGAGAGACCACAGAAGCCCCTTCATTTCAGAAGTGGATTAGGCCCCATCTTGAAGCAATAGCCTTTTCTTTTTGAACTTTGAATAATAAACCAGCTATTCTAGTGTTCTTCTGCAAATTAAGGAAGGAAGGAAGAATCGTTACTGAATAATACATAAAGGAAAGAGAGCCGATGATTTTACAAATTTCATGTAACTCTGCCCTTACTGGGCAGACACGTGTTGAGAACATGAGTTACTGTGACCTTGTATCTCTTTGGGTTCAGTGTACGCAATTTCCTACCCTCAGCATCCCCAGCCCAGACTCCAGCAGACTTATGCCAGCCCTGGGTGCCACAGGGACAGCCACTCCCTTCCACGCAGGGTGGGCGTCCAGGTGGTGCTGTGGGAAACAGCCGAAGGAAGCCTAGGTATTTTGCCAGAGGGCAGAGAGACGACTCAAATAGTGTCCCAGAAAACTGCCTGTGGGGCAGGTGAGCACAGCCTGGAATGGGGTCCCTGAAACACCTAGCAAGAGACTGGGGAATGTCTGGAGAGCCCAGCGCGCTCAGGAGCGTCCACAGAGCAGTGGCTCACGTCCTCTCCCCGCCAGGGGCCGCGAGGGAATGGGCTTGGTCTGAACAGAGACAGACATGGTGAACTTGAAATGAAATCTGACAAGAAATTTGAAATTTCTTCAGAAAGTAAAGAGCACTGTTGAGAATGTGAACTGAAGACTCGCATTTACCTCTGTAGTGCAAATACCAGCGGCTCTGACATCTCGGCTCCTGCCTGCCGCTGCCACAGCCTCGGTGCCTCATCTGGGCTTCGTTCAGAGTGGGTGGGAAGGCGATAGGTCAAGGAATCCCTGCCACAGCAGGTGACCTCTTCAGGTGACCTCTTCAAACCTGGTCCCAGGGCGCAGGCATGTCCGGGCCCAGCCCTCACCGGCTGCTTGCTGGCCTGGTTTGGCAGCCATTGAACGAATACTGATTTCCTGCCCAGGTGAGGCGCCCACTGGGTGTCGCTTATCCTCCCGTGGTCTCGTTGAGGCGCGTGCTGGGTGTCATTTGTCCTCCCGTGGTCGCGTTGAGGCGCGTGCTGGGTGTCGCTTGTCCTCCCG